AATTGGTGTCTATGTAGTAGTTACGCTACTTAGCGATAGATGACGCTGAATCTTTAAAAACTTGGTAACGTTGTGTTTTTTTAGTATTTTTGGCTTTTAAATTTTGGTTCCTATCATTTTACATTAAATTATGTATTTTATATATTATAGGTAACAACCTTTAACAAAAGGTACCTACTCGGTGTACTTTTCGACTCATTTATTTGTTGTTTTATTAGTCAACGAATTACTAATTGGTGTCTATGTAGTAGTTACGCTACTTAGCGATAGATGGCGCTGGGTGTTTTTAAAACATGATAACGTTGTGTTTTTAATTGTGTATTTTATAGATTTTTTGTTGTTAAAGGTACTTACATGAAATCATAGCCTCAACAAAACTCAACAATTTTAGCAAATAAATTGTACGCTGTTGTTTCAACGCTCAATAAATGGCGTTAGGATCGAGATGAACGGATGTTGAAGAAATTTGGTATGAAGGTAGGTTGAGTCCTGGAAAAACAAGGCTTTACAGCGGCAGAACTTCTCATTCTCACCAAAAAAATCTAAAAAGCGCGATATAACAGAATTACACGCGAGCGGAAAGCTCTTTGCCCTTGCTCTTAGTAAGTTTGTTTACCTGTCTTAAAAAGCAAAACGGAGGTACTAATTAACGTGATTTTTTAACCGACTTCAAAAAAAAGGAGGAGGTTCTCAATTCGACCGTATATATGCTTTTTTTTATGTTTGTTCGCCGATATCTCCGTCGTTTATGAACCGATTTTAAAAATTCTTTTTTTGTTGGAAAGGTGATAGTTTCAGACCATTCTGAAACTATCTCCTTTCACACACCCACTGATAGGTTAGAAATCGGTGCCACAAACCCACAACAAAATAGTTGATGGGCACAGTTGGTATAATGCGTAATAAAATTGTAAACAGCCTAATAATGTTAGGTATCTAGTAAGGTTTTAATGAATAATATTGTTTAAAACTGGTGGCACCGACTTCTAACCTATCAGTGGGTGTGTAAGCTATAAGTACGTATGACCAATAATAGTTGTTTTTTTCCTTTTTAGTTTTTACTTATCGTTAGTCATTCGTTTTTGAAGTCGGTTTTTTTTTAAACACAGTTTTTTAATTTTATTAACTGAATGTAGTTGAAGAAACGGATAATCACATAGGTATATACATACTACTTTTTATTATACATACTACTTTTTATCCTTTTGAGACGCGAGCGAAGCCGCGGGTAAAAGCTAGTGACAAAAAAAATCTTCTAATAAAAAAATAATAGAGCTATCTATAATAGTATTATCGGTCACATGAATATACATATACTAGGTAATAATAACAAGTCATAGTTAAAACGTGTAAAAATGGAACTGGGCTGGTCAGTGGTCATATCTGCCGCATGCCAGACGAGCAGTGGGCAAAACTACATAACTATTGAGCCAGTCAATGTCAATAGACGTCGCAGCAGGCCCAAAAGGTGATGGCGGGACGAATTGGCCGCAAAAAGCTTTACATAGAGGAGTGGAAGGAGGGTAGGGAGGCCTTTGCCTGATCATGCCAGATCATGACTGAAAAAAAATTAAATTAAAAAGTGCTATATAGAATCTAGGAGTATGTAATAGATTTTTCTTGACCTAAAACTACATACATAAATAAACTAAAAATTTACAAATTAACAGTAATAATAATAATTCACCCAACATGTAGATTAACGACCTTATCGATCTAAGATAACCCGCGTGAAAAACGTTGTATGAATTAAAAAAACCAAATTATATTTTTTATCTTAATCTAAATGAAAAATCCCAGGACGGTATCATCACTGTTACCCGCTTGATAGTAAATTCGTACTTATATTTAAGTAGTTAAAATTTTGAGGTAGGTTTACATTGGTTGGCATTCGGGACACATCAAACATGGCTACTGCTTACATACTGGGTCTGGTCTTCGTTTTTGGCTTCGTACAGGTAAGTTAGGAAATAAATCAAATAATTTTCTTACTAATATTGTTTTTATACTGGCCATGGCATGTTTAAAAACAAAGCATGTTCGACAGCGGAGTTGCACTACGAGCAGTCCGCTCATTACATACTCTGGGAGTGTGATCTCTGGCAATATGAACGTAACACTATGTTAGATCATTTAATTGTTTCATCAGGTGTATATTATACAGACCATGTGGAATCTTGTTTAAGTTTCCGTACGTTTAGGCAATTTGCGTACCTATTATTAGACGCAAGTATCAGAAGAAGAAGTAAGCACAACTCACACATAGGACCCACTTAATTTTTAGTCAAATTTCCGTGGTGCTTAGTGACTGGGCTTCACCTAGTTGTACAGTCTCTTTTTACGCCTTTAGGCTTAATTCATTCTGTCTCCTGCAGTAACTCACCGAGGGAAGTGGCAACTATCGTTTTTTTCCTCCTCTTATAATATTTTCTGATTAATTTTGTTGCGGGAACCAAGACAGTTATTCATGTCCCTGGGACGCGCCGGACTTCATTTAGTGTTCCGGTGTTTTCATGGTTGTATCTACCGTAGATCCTGGCTTACAGGAGTTGCAGTGGTTTTGGAAAGTCGTGGCGGGCGTATAGTTACTATAAATAAAGATTAAGTTCTCTTTCTTTAAAAACTAGTTATAATTAATTTTTTTGCCCTGTAGTGGGACGATCAAAATAATAAATAATATATTTTATGTGCATACCTATTCTTTACGATATTAGTCGCTTGGGTACTATTTACCAATGTTAGCGGTGAATGGGTTGATTTTTCTTCCACATAAACTTTTTCTTGAATAATAAAGAAACCCATGAAAGTACCTTATATATGTGTCTCCGACACAACAAATTAAAAAACAGCTGACAGTACTAGTAAAACTTTCAATAAGACTGACTGACGTATAATTATGTACATATGAAATAAGTTTTTAATTTTAACTTCATTATATCAGGGTGCGGAGATCCAGCATGCCGAGCCGGCCATCATCGAGGAGATGAGAGATGGTGAGCTTCTTTTACGTTAAACTTTTACAAATATTAACAAGATTACACACCCACAACAATAAACATTAATTCAGTATTCAAAAAGCAATAATGACAAAAGAAATCAAGATTTCATCCATCATTCTACTTATGAAATTGAAGAACGTTTTTGGGTTTTGCCTAAAACCGCAAATATATCTATGGAGCTACGATAATCACTGAGCAGTCAACCTTCTACTACGCTACGGCGTATCACTTTATACTACGTCGCTACGTTATGAGGTATAATCCAAATACATTAACTAGCTACTTCCGCGTTTTATAGCCTTTGTATTATAGCCTATAGCCATCCTCGATAAATGTGCTATTCAACACAAAAAGAATTATTCAAATCAGACTTATAGTTACGGAGATTAGCTCCTTCAAACAAACAAACTAAAAAACAAACTCTTCCGCTTTATATAATAGTATATAAGATTATTTAATTGAAAATTAAGTATATCGGCAAATCAATGAATGAAAGTGTAACTAAAATTTTTCAATATTTAATTGGCCTGAAAAATCAAAATAAATTATTTTTGACCCAGGAAGATTCCTGGGCACTCGGCCTTTATAGTAAAGACGATACTGCTAAAAAACCATTGTTATGATTAATTTAATTCCAAAAACCACATTTATGGAATTTACTAGCTTCTACTCGCGACTTCGTACGCGCAATCCCGTTTCTCCCATTCCCGTAGGATTTTCAGGAATTTTTCTCCTGACGATAACAAATAAATCAAAAATAAAAATCAGCCAAATCGGTCTAGCCGTTCTCAAGTTATAGCGTGACAATGGGAAACGGGTTTTATATAGAAAGATTCATGATCTGACGTGGTCATTTTATAATAATATATTCTGATTCTTTCATACATTTCATATGTACATTCTAGCAAAAGATATTTTTTTTTGTCCTTAGCTCTGCCATTATCATCAAGAATAGTGGCTGGTCAGCCAGCAGCTGAGGGTCAGTTTCCCTATCAGGGCAGCTTGAGGATGGTGGATCAAGAGGGAGCCGTCTACTCCTGTGGATGCTCCCTCATGCACCACAAATGGGTGCTCACTGCTGCTCACTGCCTGGCCAAGTAAGTATCCACGAATACGAAGATTAATATACATTTTTAACCGTCTTCAAAAACAGTAGATTCTCATTTTGACCTGTATTTATGTTTGTATCTATGTGCACGATTAACTCCCGATTAGCTGAACCGATTTTTATACGGTTTCTTTAATAAAAAGTAAAGTAATAGGTAATTAACTGACTTTAAAACAGGGGGGTTTTGAAGTCGGTTTTTTAAACGTAGTCTATAAAATAATTAAATTTAAACTAAGGTAATCTTTTAGTCTAACTTATTTTTAAGAATGATTGCTATCTTTGATCTTATATCAGAAGCCACTTGTTACTGAGACAACTATTGTAGTGTGTACTAGAACAAACAATACCTGTAATTATTTATCTATGTATAAGAATTTCATGTATCAGAAAGCACGGAACCCATTTTCTCTCCAGTATAATATTATGTAGCAAGAAGAATTCTTCTCTATAATTAACTATATAATATAATTATATTACGATAATTATAATATTCCTACTCTATTACATAAGACTTAACATGACTAATGCATAAATATTATGAAAAAGAAAAGCATTCACTGCTAAGTTATAAAGCTATCAGAAAAGATAACACTGATTTAATAATATTTTTTTCCATCAGCCGCATCACATTCGTCGTCCGGTTCGGTGTGACCAACGTGACCCGTCCAGAAGTGATCGTAGAGTCCACCCACAAGTACATTCACCCTGAGTATGATGAGATCAGGGCTGGAGTCCAAACCGCTGACCTGGCCCTCGTTGGACTTGACCACCACATCCCCTATTCCGGTAATATTTTAATGTTTTTAAAAAAAAATCTGGGTTTTCCAATACGTATATCATATCTTTTGAACGGATTACTCCATTTATTAGTTATCAGATTAGCATTATTTGGTAAGTTTAAAGATATTCAAATCTTCGGAAATAAAAGTAGTTTAAGAAAAATATTTTAGCATTTTATAGACCAGACAATGATTAAAGAAACAATTAACATTTCGTTATTTTCTTAAGACAAACACTTATAAAGAGCGCGAATATTTATTTTTGTCGATATCTTTTTACTATCTGTTATCTCCCGCGCACAAGAAGAAGCAGTGACAAGCGTCATACAGCCTAATTATAAACTACGTCAATAGATAAATTACATATTTTTATAGGTATTACCATAGATAATTATAGAAATATAATTGATCACATAATTCATTCACTTGGAAATAATCCCTAAGATTAAACTACCTTGTCTCGAAAAGTAATTTTATCCTAGAGCTCTTTGTCTATCATTATATTAATGTTGGTTAGGAATAAATTATCGGACTTTTGAGAATATGACTGCATCTTAAGACTATTATTCGAGAAAATTGTATTATCAATTTTATCAATAATTTCATTAAAACATATTGGATAAAACCCGCTAGGATAACCAAACACTTGGAAAAAAAAAATCTAAATATTATAATTATTACCAAATATTTTTACTTATGAAACATTACTTTTATTGTATTTGTCATTATTAATATAATTTATGTTGAATGGCTTACCATAACTCGACTAGTTTTAAGCCATGTTAGGGATAGTTTTAAGCATTGTCATAGGCAGAATGCGTAACAACCGAAGCAACGAGTGCCCGAAAGCGAATGGAAACTTTTAATTTTGATTTCTCTTTAACCAGTTCCTATATTATATATGTATTACATTACATAATATCCTTTCTCCTACTTTTCCAGCTAACATCCAGCCCTCGCGCCTGATGAGCAGTGCTCAAAAAGCTATCGACTACTCTGGAGTCCGTATGATTGTCAGCGGGTTTGGCCGTACCGACGACTTATGGAACGGTCAGTTATATTTCTCTCCCAATTCCCAAAATATTTTTGAGGAAAATAGAAGAAAATTCATGTATGCGTCGTGTCACATACATCATCAACAGCCTTTCTCTTCTGGAGACGGTTTGAACATTAATCGCCATGCTTGCTCATTGCGGGTTGGCGATTTCACACACATAAAGTAAAAAGAATCATAGAAAAAAGAATAAAGATAAAATAAATGAGTAAAAAAAAAGAAAAAAATCACCAACAGACAAAAATAAGTGGTATTATTTTTGATGCAAAAATATCGAACTTTCTCGTATTTATATAACTCCTAACATGTTATAGGTGGTACTTCTTCCGAGGTCCTGTTGTGGGTCCACCAGCGAGGTATCTCCAACGAGGAGTGCAGGTCCTGGTACCCCAATTCTTCTGTCATTAAGGAGGAGACCATCTGCGTCGCCTACTACGACAACGTGTCACAGTCTTCTTGCCAGGTAAACAACTATTTCGGGTATTTTAATTTGTAACCATGTGGGAAGAACTAAAGGAAAACAAATATAGATTCTGGTATAAAAGAAAATTCATAACATAAACATAACATCACACCTTTTATCCCCGAAATATATAAAATTAAATTTTGCAAACGTAAAGTTAGAAGTCCGGATTAAAAAATTAAAAATTAAAAAAAGAGTACTTTTTATCCCGGAAAAAAATGATTATCCCGAGGGATAACAAACATATTGGTATAGATGGCGCTGTGTGTATTGATATAGATGGCGCTGTATGTCATATAAAACAAGTCAACGAATTACCTACTAATTGGAAATCTCACGCTTTAATCTCTATAGAATAATAAAATAAGAAAAATATAAGAAGAAAATAAAATAAGAAATAAGTGTAGCTGGCGCTATCGCTACCTACACTTATTCGGTGCACTTTTCGACTCATTTATTTGCTGTTTTATAAGTCGACAAATTACTAATTGGTATCTATGTAGTAGTTACGCTACTCAGCCATAGATGACGCTGGGTGTTTAAAAACTTAGTAACGTTGAGTTTTTTAAGTATTTTTCGCTTTTAAATTTTGGTTCATAGCATTTAACATTAAATTGTGTATTTTATAAATTATAGGTTGTTAAAGGTACCTATTCGGTGTACTTTTCCGATTCATTTATTTGTTGTTGTCATATGTCAGCGAATCACTAATTGGTATCTATGTAGTAGTTACGCTTCTTAGCGATAGATGGCGCTGGATTTTCTAACTTGGCAACGTTGTGTTTTTTTAATATTTTTCGCTTTTAAATTTTAGTTCATACCATTAAACATTAAATTGTGTATTTTATATAATTATTGTTAAAAATATCTATTCGATGCACTTTTCGACTCTGTCTATAAGTCAATGAATTATTCATGGGTATCTATGTAGTAGTCACGCTACTTACCGATAGATTGGTGGTATTTTATAAAAACGTGGTAAAGTTGTGTTTTATAGATTTTACTTTGTTAAAGGTACACGAAATCATGGCGTCAACAATACTCAACAATTTTAGCAAACAAATTGTACACTATTGTTTCAACGTTTGATAGATGGCGTAAGGATCGAGTTAGATGGCGTTATGGTTTCGTTACCGGCGAAAGTATAGGTTCCGAGGTTCCGAAATAATTATATGTACCTCTATATTGGTGTAAGCAACTAGCACTGTGATTGATTTTTTCGCTCGCTCAATAATAGGTTTGATTAGTTAAGTATTTTTTTTTCTAGGTAGATATTATTTTCTAAAGTAGTTATTATTTTTTCGTCGGTTTACGTCCCTTTGTTCATTGTTTAGTTTGATTGATACAGTAGCTGTATACAAGTTAGGTGAAGTCTTTTAAATGAAAATGGGAGGATGGTATTTATGGTAATGCGAAAATAACTCCTTCTGTATGTTTTTTTCACGCCTAAACGGCTGAGCTGATTTTGAAATAATTTGACATAAAGGTCGTTTGAGTCCTGGAAAATCAAGGCTTTACCGCGGCAGAACTTTTCATTCCCACGGAAAAATGTAAAAAGCGCGATATAACCGAATTACACGCGAGCGGAAAGCTATTGGTTTGTTTGCTTGTCTTAAACGGCAAAACGGAGGTGTGAGCTAATTAACGTGATTTTTTAACTGAAGGTAGTTGAAGGGATGGATAGTCACATAGGCTACTTTTTATCCTTTAGTGACGCGAGCGAAGCCGCGAGTAAAAGCTTGAAAACAATAAAATAATCAATCTCTTACTTACTTTTTGCTTAAATCTCTCTTTATTGTCAACAGGGTGACAGCGGTGGCCCGCTGACCATCGAGGACGCCGACGGCAAGCGCACACAAGTCGGTATCGTCAGCTTCGGAGCTGGCTGGCCATTCGGATGCAACAGCGCATTCCCATCAGGTAAGCAATCTCTTTGACTGAATTTTGGTGTTACATTGTTCTTGCACAATCGAACCAATAAAACTATGTAACTAGAGTGTGTTGTAAACCTGATTAAAAAACAGTTTCCTATGGAGTTTCTTGCTCGTTCTTCTCCATAGAAATGAGCTTCACTTTTAATTTTTTTTAATTGACGTTCAACATTGCCTTCCTGGTCTAATTGAAATACATAAATGAATTTGACTTAACTTTGACTTTGAAGGTTTTGAAACCTATTTAAACTCATTTAAAAATATCACTTAAATCAGCCACAAACACCATTTTTGTAATATTTATTTGCTATCTGCTTGCTATTCGAAAAATATTGGTGACACAAAAGTACCAAATGGAGCTTTCTTATCGAGATTAGCCTCGGGTTTTACTTTATATTAATGGCATCAACTCCCAAATGCTAAATGTTTGTTAGCAGATGTTAATGATTGGAAGAATATTAATAATCAGCAACTTTTATATTTAACGTCAAAACAAATGGTTGAATAAACAAGTGGAATCTTAAGAGCAAATGACCCTTACCTCTTACGGCCCTTATCAAAAAATCCTCATCCTATTTATTTAAATATTAAGGTAATATAATTGTTTTATAAACTATGTACCTACGTTTAAAAAAACCGACTTCGACACCTCTATTTTATCCTTAAGAGATAATTGCGCACAAATATACATACATTTACACATATGGGTCAAACAGTGAACCTCACTGTTTTTGAAGTCGGTTAAAAACTAATTTCCCCTTGTCTTTTCCAGGTTACGTCCGTCCCGGTTACTACCACGACTGGTTCACAGAGGTCACTGGTATCGACTTCGACTGGGACAGCGATGCTCTCGTCAACCCTCCCGTATCTGATGAGGCCAGCAACGAAGAAGGTCAAAAAGTCCGTGTTGTTAACTAAATGCCTGCAAAATGTGATATATAAAGCTATTTTAAAATTTGACCGTTGTTTAATTTTGTATTTTTTTTTTTTACTGAAGATGCAGATTTACCAATCCTTCATAGAAATATTATTCGTTTAATTAATAGGGGCTTGGATTGTTACTCACCATAAGCCTCTAGCGTGAACCTCGTTTTTAGTCCAATAAGGAATTAGATAGTGTTACAGCCATTAGACGTTCAATATTCGACAACTACAGTGATAAAGCGCACATGTACCTATGGTTAAACCCTGGGTTTAATTCTAAACACTACTTCGTAAAGGAAACCGGAAGATGTAGTGGTATTTTTATTGTCCAATATCGTCTGGTCTGAACCCGACAATATCAATACATAGTATAAAACAAAGTCGCTTTCGCTGTATGTCCGTATGTATGCTTAGATCTTTAAAACTACGCAACGGATTTTGATGCGGTTTTTTTTAATAGATAGAATGATTCTTAAGGAAGATTTGTATGTATAATACATGCATATTGCACCCGTGCGAAGCCGGGGCGGGTCGCTAGTAAACTATATAGATTTTTTTTTTTAATTTGGAAAATCATCGAATGACTTCTCCCGCCTCGGTTAGGCAGGAGGGAGTGTCAGACTCTTACTAACTAAAACCCATATCGTTCCTTCTCCACCCTACTATAGTCCAGTATAGTACTGTAAACTGTATATTTATAATGGCATTTAAACTGTCAAACACCAAGCGGTCACCGGTGACCGCAACCTATTGTTCTATAATTGTGTCTACAAAACCGGTACTCGACGAGTTAATACCACTGCATGAAAGGAACCTAGAATCTTTTATTTTGTAGTCACATTTACAACAGAAAGATTTATTTCACGATTACATGTTATCAATAAATCCTACATACAGTTTGCTCACCCTATTCAATTGTTGAAATACCCATAAAAAATCTACAAACAATATCGAATCAATAATAAAATCCTAATTAATGATATTGATAGTGTATCGTAAGCCGAGATAATCGTGTTATATTATCATTTAATTCTAATGTTTGATAGGAAAAGATAATTTAGATTAATTACTAATTAAATATACTGCAGTTGGACATTCGTTAGGTGATCGCTTAAGATGGCGGCCACGTACTTGTTGGGATTGCTGCTCGTAGCTGGCTATGCCTCGGTAAGTATTTTATGATAGATAGAAACTACAATTAAGCATCATCCTTCATCATCACATCTCACACGGAGAAGGTTTGAGCATTAATCACCATGTTTGCTCAATGCGGGTTGTTTCTGGTTACCGCACGATGTTTTCCTTCAGTGTTTGTCAACGGTGTCTAAATAATCTTAGAAAGTATGTACATATAGCTCGAAAATGGTCACGTAACATACTAAAGTAATTGCCGTTAGTAGGTTTCGAACCCGCACTCTCATGCATGAGAAACCTCCGGGCCACCACGACCACAATTAAGCGCCTAATCATTTCTCCTTACGTATGCCGGAATACTGAAACGTTACTCAATTTTAAGTCGTGCTTAAATATCGTACCATCTCTGTCTTTTTACAAAGAATTTGTAGAGACAGAACTATACTTAAGCACGACTTAAAATTGAGTAGCGTTTGAGTATTCCGACAGTAGGCAGATAAAGAAGGCATTTGTTTTATAATTAATTGACTATTTAAATTTGGATTGAAGAATTTTAATTTCGATACGATGATTTGTGGAATGATTTGTGAATTTCGACACATGATTTGTGGAAAGGGATAGAAATAGCTTTAGTATTCACACCAAAAATATCGCCTTACGTCATAGATATACCGAAAATCGTCACACAATTTTCGGAGTATGAACCATAGAAAATATTCGTGATATGAACCATCAAATGACATATGGTTCCCATAATTACAGGCTGCAGTACTGAATGCTGAGCCAGCCATCATTGAGGACTTGAGAGATGGTAAGTTTCAGAGAACAATAATTTATAAGGAGTTCTTGTTGTTACCCATTTTAAAATTTTTCCCAAAGTTGAACGCGATAGATGGTTTCATAATGTTGTAAAATATAAAACATTTTCTATATCATTCCAAAAATACTAAAAACTCTTAATTTTTTCAATGAGATATTACGTAATCTTACTTACGATTTCAGTTTTAGGTGCACAGGATAATTATATTTATTTTGTAAGCAATAGAACTGTAAATGGTTGGAAATACATAAAATATTAATTCATCCATACATCAAATTAATAATAAGTCATGAGATCTTTATCCGTTGAATCTAGTCTACTTTTAGAATTTGTTTATAGACTTCAAACTTATAAGACAACTTGCGCGTGCGTGCTAACAAATAAAATAAAAAGTCATAATATGTATCTCGGTTTGAGTTCAAAAGATTATCATGTGTAAATAAAAGCTCAAAATATCTATAGATTACAATATTGTACACGTGCCGTATACGCATTGATCGATAATTAATTAATAATCCCTTTAATTATATAGTAATCAGAATGAATAAACAAAGATATTATGCTCCGTTGAGTAATTAATAATGTATATTTTGTCAACTCATGGTCGGATGTGTCACACACACGATGCATGTTTGTGTAACAGAGACCATATAAAGAAGGTTGTGTAACTTAACGACTGGATATTAGATTGTTAAACATTAGCTTCTACCAGTGGCTTTGCCCGCGGTTCCGTAGACTAAAAGTAACTAGTCTGTTAATCCAGACCATAATCTATTCCTGTTCCCATACCCGATCACTTTAGCCGTTTTAACATGATTGAGTAACAATCACACAAACTCAAACACAAACTTTCGGATTTATAACAAGTTAGATCAATGTATAAATGTTAGCTACGTGCCATCGCGATGCCGTAGCATTGCTGTAGCGGTACCGTAGCATTGCTATAGCGTTACCGTAGCGGTGCCGTAGCGGTGCCGTAGCATTGCTGTAGTATTGCCGTTGTTGTGCCGTAGCATTGCTATAGCGTTACCGTAGCGGTGCCGTAGCATTGGCGTAGCACTATAGTACGAAGCTACATACATTTTGTGAACGTAGCTACAGGTTACGGTCGTGATAAAAACATATTTTATTTATTTTGTATAAATTCTAAAAACATGTAGTCAGTAATGACGTAATTTCTTTATAATAAAAATTAATAAGAAGTTGAGCAGTATTTCCGAAGATTAGATTATGGTTTAGACATTTGATTACAAACAATATAAACTTCTAAAGTGAATAATCTTAAATGATATCTATGTTTTTCACAATATACTTAGGTATAAAAAATAATGAATGCTTAATACTTTCAACCGCTTAGTTGCCTATCTAATAGTTCTATCTGTGAATGTACATGTACATGTAAATGTATGTACTTACATTGTACAATATGCTACAAAATGTGCCAAAGGCCAATCTACTAGATTTAAATGTTGAAGATAGACAAAAACGAAAAATGACTCTTGCAAATGCAACTACATCCTTTGTAAATCAATTGTACCAGATTTCAAATCATTTAAACCATTTTAAACGGGAGTCATGTCACCAACTGTCCTATTCACAGCTGAACCATCAGGCTCAAGGATCGTGCAAGGCTGGCCTGCAGAGGAGGGTCAGATCCCCTACCAAGGCAGTCTGCGCATGGTGAGCGTTATCGGAGGTGTCAGCTCCTGTGGCTGCTCCCTCATCCACCACGAATGGGTCCTGACCGCTGCTCACTGCTTGGCCAAGTAAGGGAAATGTCCAAGTAATGTACTTGATATCATTTTACCATTATTTTTCAATCAGTCAGCGTGTTGTTTAGTTTCCCTGATCACAGGTTTTAAGTTATTTTCCCTAAGTTACATAGTGTCAGCAGGATAAACCAATAAACATTCATTCATCCATTTTTATGGTCAGATGTCATTTTAACCTGCTTTCTCGTTGAAATCATTCCCACCCTCTTAGTTTTCATTTCCGATTTGCCATAAACATAATTCGTATATTATTATCATTTATATATATTTTCTTTTGCCTTTGTATATCTATTTCCTAATTTGTTATATAAATTTGTTATACAATTTGTTATAAAAATTAACAACAAAGAAATTACTTACGCTTAAGGTTTAGAAACAGAAATATCTTGTTTTTTTTTGTAATCCTTATCTTAATGACAGATAACAAAAAATAGGCGCATAATAGGATTATAAAATTAATTTCATTTCTAGCAACGTCATAGGTATAATTCGGAACAATTACATACCTCTAAATACCAGTACGTAGGTACCTAAACGCCTTAGCCTAATGGGTAATTACTAATTAGTTTTAGGGCTATCTAAAGTCAATGAACAAAACAGATATGAGTAATCGCTGATAACTTTAGGGTATTTAGGTTTATAAAAAAATATACACCAAATATTTTACGAAATAATATGCAGTACCTACCTACTAAATTACCTGTACACTATGTGCAATTATAGCACATTACACTGCAATTTGACACATATTAAAGATAAAACTGAAATTACCTAGGTACCTAACTTATTTCAAACAACGTACAATAAACAACAAGATTACGGTTATATCAACGTTTTTTAAAAAAAGTATTTAGAATGAGAAGAATTTCAATCGCCTTTTTTAACGGGAGAAAATCTTCAAAAGGCGCCCAGCTTTTTGGGGAGAAAGACTAGGTAGTTTGGGACTCGTACCTCACTAAAACCACACAGGTGGTCACCCTCAGCCTGTAGGGAGCACCAGATCCCTCTAAAGAAACCTGCTTCAGAGCAACTCCTCCCAACTTCCGGCACAAGCGTAAAGGTACGACCTTAGTTATTGATTAAGGGCACAAAAGGGATGAAATTTTTTATCTGGTTTGACCTGTACTTACTACATGTACCACCAATCTGTAGTCAGAACAGCAGACACTGAAAATGTTATTTTCCACAGCCGTATCACCTTCGTCGTCCGTTTCGGAGTAACCAACCTGACTCGTCCAGAGATCCTGGTGGAATCTACCCACAAATACATCCACCCCGAGTATGATGAAATCAGGGCTGGAGTGCAGACTGCTGATCTTGCCCTCTTGGGACTTGACCACTACATCCCCTACTCCGGTGAGAAAAGTTCCTTATATTTTATTTTTATATCTATCTGACAATGGAAAGAAGTGGTAACTAATACAGTTGCGTCTCTGGGATGAATCGGGCTTCATTGATTCAGTAGTTTTTTTGGTTAGTGGCTACTGTACATTCAGACATTCAGGGGATGATCAATCGTAAAATGACCTTTCATTTCGCTCAATTAAGGTCGCCATCCATAATCAACTCTAAGCTAGTTAGAAGGTATTATAAAACATGGGAAGGTTGGTATGCCGTATAAGCAAATATAGTGAAAACGACACTTTTATTCATATTTCAATTGCCACACATAGGGTAAGATTTCATCAAGATCAATATCTAGGAATAATTCTATTCCAGACATAAACTAATTGGTTTTTACTGTTCACAGCCAACGTGCAGCCTTCCCGTCTGATGAGCAGGGCACAGAAGGCTATCAACTACGCTGGAGTTAGAATGATTGTCAGCGGCTTCGGACGTACCGACGACCTGTGGAACGGTCAGTATTCTTACCAGAGAAAAAAAACGACATTTCTGTATGACAAAATCTGTAAGAAGATGAAAAACAAAATCATGACGATTTATATTATTTTATAGTACCAAAACAATAGCTATGAATGTCTTAGAATTAGGTATTCATCGCAGAAACGTCAAAATTAATATCCGTAGCGAAAAAAACAAGCGTTACTTATATTAACGCCTCTAAACTGCAGGTGGTGCTGCCTCCGAAATCCTGCTGTGGACTCTGCAACGTGGAGTATCCAATGAAGACTGCCTCTCCTGGTACCCCAACAGCCAAGTAATCAAGGATGAGACCATCTGCTCCGGATCTTATGACCATCCTTCTCAATCCTCCTGCCAGGTACGAAGATCAAATTTTTGGCAATAATTTTTATTGTGTTCTTAGAATCGTCAGAAGCTTTGGCTAACGTGAAGTTAGCAATTTTATTGGAATATAATTATTAACGATAGAAATCAGCTTTTGGCATCCAACCAAGGCCAGCTAGGATGTCGTCAATCCAAGTGGATCCAAATAAGTAACTGAAGTTGCCTTATCTTTCAGAAGAACTAATTAATTCAATCGAGAAAAAAAATTGTTCGTCCAGGTGTATGGAGATAAATTTTAATAACTTTTTGTTTGCTGACCAGGGTGACAGCGGTGGCCCGCTGACCATCGAGGATGCTGACGGCAAGCGCACACAAGTCGGTATCGTGAGCTTCGGTTCCACTGCCGGATGCAACAGCCCATTCCCATCAGGTTAGAAATTTATTCGTCTAATTATATACTATAATTAGGAAATATGTCTTAGCGGGTTCACGTCATAATTTCATGATTTTTTAGCTAGGACCTCTAGATTTTACAAAATAAGAATACCTAATATTACTATCTTGTTGGATCCATAAAATATTTATTCAATCTTCAACACTCATAACAAAGCAGCCACTTTTACAGAATATATTACTTAAATGACAAAAGTAGGATCAGTTGTGAACTAAATGTAATCTCTTTGCTAGGTTTCGTCCGCCCCGGATGGTACCACGACTGGTTCACAGAGGTCACTGGCATCGACTTTGACTGGGACAGCGATGCTATTGTAGACCCACCCGTATCTGGTGAGGACCCTCCCTCTGATGGTGGTGATGACAGTGACTCCTCTGCGAGCGACAGCAGCGAGGAAGCTGAAAGCGTACACTTTGTCAACTGAGTAGTAGGTACACCTATGCGATAAATAAAGCTATTTTTTTACTTTATATGGTTGTTTTAGTTGAAGCCATTTTATTATTTTCTTGAATATATTTCATGCTGTTACAATATTATAAAGGTGAGTTTGTTTGGATGTTTGTCCGTCAATCACGCTGAAACTACTGAACGGATTTTGATGATATTCGGTATACAGGCAAGGTATGGGCTGACTTATGTGATAAGATACTTTTTATCCCGATTAAATGGTCCCATGGGATAAAACAGGAATCATATTCTATGCAGAAGAAGTCGAGAGCAACAGCTAGTCAGTAAATAAAACAAAGCTAATAGTTTATTAAACTTATACACTTTATTCATATTCATACTATGTACTTGTAAGTCTTCATTACATAATAATTATGTATAAGCGAATAAGTCAGACATATAAAAAACTTATGTGCTTCACACATAGACATCAAGTACTTGGCCGATTTTTCGGAAAATTATCAAAATTGACAAATTAGACTGCCTCGTTGGCCGAGTGGTCGCAAGTGCGACTGCCGGGCATGGGGTCTCGGGTTTGATTCCCGGGTCGGGCAAAGCATTACTGGATTTAAAAAAAAATCTCAATTCACGGAGTCTGGAATTGTGCCCGGTATATAGCAATAGGCTCAGCCCAGCCATTTACATGGAACTCATAACATAAATAGTAAAAAGTGGGTGGCCACTGTACAAGTGGCATAATGTGCACCTCTGCCTACCCATTCGGGGGTAAAAGGCGTGATGTTATGAGGTTATGACAAATTAGATGATTGAAATTCTTATTAAACTTGTCTTCTAGAAGATAGAACCTTATTAAAGTGTAAAAGAACTCCGAAAAATCGGCCAATCCACACACATTTTCAATGCTCTGCGCATTAGCACAGACTTAGTACAACTTTTATTTTATTTGTTGATACACAGCTACATTAATTCCCATATTGGTATTACTTTTATTATACGATATGAATTTATGTCAGTATATTATATGGATATAAGGATATGGTATTGCGATTAATATGATTAAATGGTTACTAGTGTAACTGTTATTTATTATAAAAGAGGTTACATTTCTTGTCTACATTTAAGATCATCGCTTCTCCGCATCGCAGCTCCGGCACGGCTCAAGTACGGCTCCGGTACGGAGTCTCATGCTTTGGAAACAATACAAAAAGGTTGTAAGCGCACTTACAGCTTTATTATATGGACGTTATGAAATATGTCATACGACATACGATGTTATTAATAGGGTAGATGACTAATTTTTATTTTAATTCCCGTCTGGTAGATTTTTTAAAAACATTAGACACGTGTTTTTTTTTCTTACAGAAACGAATAGTTTCGAAGATTGATTTGAAATATCGCATGACGTCACTTTTGAGTACCATTTATACTCTAAAATGACTTAGCTACGCCCCCCACTCCTAAACTTTGATTCGTTTTATTTAAGTATTATTTTATTATACGACAAAAATACGTGTCTAATATTTTTTCATTACCTAACTGACGGACTAATTAGACTTTTAATTTTCATACCTCGTCATCATCCCTATTGTTGGGTTGGAGCCGTGCCGGAGCCGTGCTTGTTAGGTGTGGGATAATCGTTAATCGAATCTACTCATACAACAGCAAAATATTACAAAACTGACAATTATAACTCAGGTACTTATAAATGCAAATTAAAGAACATAAGTTATTCGATAAAGCATAACTTTAAAAGTATAACGCCCGAATACTGAGGGCCAAGCACGAATAACTATCGCATTCGTATCGTAACAGTATCTGCTCGCCAGGTATAACTGGCTCGAGCGCGGGCCTCTGCCCCCCCCCGTCGAAATGTGCAGTAAAAGTCGCCCCCCCCCCCCACTAGACTCGACCCCGCGCCGCCAACAGCCGCAGCTCGCCGGGCCCACCTGGCTAGAGCGCGGCTCTTAACGGCGCAAAACAACTGACTCTGCATCGGGCCTCGCAAGGGGCCCGAATACTCCAACCCCTCGCCTCGCAGGCAGCGACTAGATACCGCCGAGACAGGCACCGGCCTGGATCGCGCGACCTCGCACCCCCAGTCGGGGACGCACTCGATACTATTACGTTACGATGCGATGCGATAGATGCGATAGTTATTCGTGCTTGGCACTCTGAGGGGTTACTCAATTTTAAGTAGTACTTAAATATCGCGCCATCTCTGTCATTTTACAATAAATTTGTTGTGGCAGAACTATACTTAAGCGCGACTTAAAAATACAATCAATTAAGGGCCAGTTTAACTAAGCATTTCAATGCTCAGTTAAATTTTATGACAGGAATAACTTTGAATATTCGACAATTCTTCCATACTATGTCTACAGTCAATTTTAGTCTACAGTTAAGAATTAACTGATAAAAATCGACCCTAAGGCTTAGGACTCACGGCTGAATCTTCTCCCGCGCACGCCGCGAGGGCGAAATGGAGGCGGAATTTTCAAGACTCACGTGACCACAGTTTTCTGCGACACCCGCAGCGTTCGCGGTTGCGATTATCGCCCGCAAACTTAGCGGTTGAATATCGCAAGACGCGGACGGTTAAACAATCAGTTGAGTTTTAGACTGGCCGTCCCATTGCGGTCATCCGCCAACCGATCGCAGAGCACGCGACTGCGCCCGCCGGTGCAGCGGGAGCCGCGAACAATCGCAACCGCAGCGGGCGTAAAACGCGCCGTGAAAATAGCTTTGATTTTTTACATATATGTCTGTATTCTATAAAAGCTGCGGGCTCGAAACCGCGGCGAGCGCGGGTGAAAATCGCGCCGTGACTACTTAAGATGTTTTTGTGTAATAATATCAGATTCTAACATAAAATAGACAGATCAAATATTGTATATGTTACCAACATATACAAATCAAATAGGAAATAATTTTGTAACATTACAAAATTGAAAAAAATCTAGACTAGTGGGCAAATCACATAAATCTAAATAATAGCCGCAGACATTAGATTACGCCTAACACAGAATAAAATATACACAATCCACTCAAATACAACAAAATATAAACAAACATACAAAACTATATACATTATATGTCGTATTCAAAGACATTTAATGAATACTTAAACTATACTTTAGTAACGAGTTTGTTCCGAAAACAATTGGGTACTTTCCTTAATCAAAAATAAATTATTTCGACTGTTCAATACAATAAATTATCAAAAAAAAACAATCACACTTTCATTAATTGATTTTACGACCAAATGAATGTTACTATTTTTCCAGCAAATTTAAAAAAATACGTGACGTCACAATACACAATCTCGTACAAAATTCATAGCAAACTGTCGTTTTTGACAGTTCAAAAAAAGTATTGAATTTGACTAGTTATCAAGTACCCAATTGGGTAAAACAAACAAAAACGACAGTTTTCTATAAAATTTGTACAAGATTGTGTATTGTGACGTTAGATTTTTTAGCGTCAAACAGCATACTTAATTCCTAGAAAATTGCTGGAAAATTACTAAAATTAAGTTGGTCATAAAATCAATTAATGAATTTCTTTTAATATTTTGTTGTATTGAACAGTCGAAATAATTTGTTTTCATTAAACTGTCAAATACCAAGCGGTCACCGGTGACCGCAAGCTATTGTTCTATAATTGTGTCTGCAAAACCGGTACTCGACGAGTTAAGGAAAAAACCCAACTCCTAAGTACTTGGTTAAGTTAGTATTGAATGTCTGTGAATACAGCTGTTTGACCCGCAAAAAATAATTTACAAGCATGTACTTATAATGTAGATACAGAAACTAAAACTGGGACCAGCCGACGGAGATAGCATCGTCAGAATTTTTGGTGACTGTTATCCCCACTCTGAATGCTAAGTATGGGGATTATAACAAATTGCATATTCCACTTATGGTCAGTTTCAATAAACTTATCTATCTGTAGATTTGTTTACACAAAATAAAATTTTGTAATTATATTTGGTGGGCCGACGTTTGACCTCTATGCGGTCTACGATGGAGCACGTCGTCCCATAAGCAACCTATTCACTCGGGCCTTGAAGACACCCAGGTTATAACCCTTCAGGACATACAAACTCTGGCAAAGATTCTCTCCTTAGCAGTACGCACAAGGAAGCTTGATGCGAAGCGCTGTTTCTAATGTTACCACACACAAAGTTTTTTTTCTTTGTCATGGGTGCATTTACAAACATATCCTCAGACCCGGAACAACCTTTGGTTGATCACACAAAGAATTGTTACGTGCAACAAACGAACTTACGGTACATCGCACAGCAGCCAGCCACTGCGCTAACTGAGCGCATGTGAAAATTCTATCTCTTAATCGAATCCACAGATATGATATAGATTTATTGAAACTTTCCATCAAAAGGAAGGTCTTTGGGCAACGTATGATGATGACGAACGATTTAAGAATGCGAACTACTTATCTGGCTGGCTCCTCAACTGGAGATCGGTTTCCAAAGACAGTGGCTAATATTTCCGTACAATACTGTTTTTCTTCCATAAACCTATCATCTGCCAGTTCTGGTAAGTTCAGATAGTCTTCTAGAATCTTCTTCAGGTTGTACTTAGCGTCCCTGCAGAGTCGTAAAGTGTTGGGGTCCTTAGAGCTGATAAGGACTTGGAGTATGCTGAGCAGGTGCTCCGAGCTGTCATCACGTCCAGTTTGTAGTTGTGATGTGATGACTTTTACGATGTTGTATCTTATTAGTTGCCCTGGAAATAATGGGATGATGTTAACAATACAGTAAGATGGAAATCTCACGTGTAAGAGAGTTATGAATGGATGGGAGGAAAGAAACTGACTTAGATTGATGGTCAGCCCAGTAGCTGTGTAATCTATTGCGTGATTGATTCCCTTACGTAAGTCTAAATCTCTTTGAGAGATCCACAAATTTAATCGCTGCACCAAGCATGCAGTTGACTAGAAACAACGACACACTATACAAAAACTTATCAAATAGTCTAAAATGATTCAAAAACCCTTACGTCTGGCATCAGCGTAGTACTGTCCGAAGTATCTGATGAGGAATGCCGCCTTAGTCTTGGCAGCTAAGTCGGAGGAGCTGAGCAGTTCCACGAGTACAGGGCACCCTCCCTGCGTGATCAGCTCGTGGCAGGCAGGCTCGTAACCGCGAGAGATACCTGAAAATAAAAATAGATGATTTTATTTAGGTTTTTAGGGCTCGCGCCTTATTATGATGAACTCGCAATACAATAGGAACAATGGTCGTTTCGTTACATTACATTAAATACTTGCACCACTATCTGCACCTTTGGGAAATCAATGGTGTCATATTTATTATTTTCTGCCTCATCAAATGGAGTGAATAATGTTGGACTTTCGGTCTTGAAGCTCTCTGAAATATTTGTTTGACTCAGGCCTAACTTGACAAGAAAAAGGTAATAATAAGCGAGCCTAATTCTAAGCGAGGCACAATGTGCTACAATGTTTTTTTTATGGCATGAGCTGGTAAACGATCACCTGATGGTAAGCAATCGGCGTCGCCCATGGACACCTGGAACACCAGAGGCGTTGCAAGTTCGTTACCGGCCTTTTGGGGATTAGGAGTTTGAGGATCGTTGGGGGTTCAGGGATATTGGGGAAGGGGAGGGTAATTGGGCCTCCGGTAGCCTCACTCACACGACGAAACACAACGCAAGCGTTGCTTCACGTCGGTTTTCTGTGAGGCCGTGGTATCACTCCGGTCGAGCCGGCCCATTCGTGCCAAAGCATGGCTCTCCCAGACTTGTATCTTAAACTGACAATGCTAACTTACATGAAATAGCATATAAGCATTTAGCAAGTGCAGCTCCTTGCTCCTTCTGCACCAGATTGAGCAGTACATGCAGGAGTCCGCACTCCAGCGCCCTCTTCTGACAGAACTCATTGTTCTGGCAAATTGTGCCCAGGACGGAACTCGCACGAGTCCTCAATTCTTCATTCTGGCTGCTGTAGCAAATGGGGAACATTGCAAATCCTCCCATTTTGAAAAAATCTGTAATGTAAAAAGAGAAAATTAATAAATATGACCACTTAAATCTTGTAATAATGTAATCATGCCTCATTGATATACATTATGTGAAGTGTTGCAATTTACTTCATGTGTTTTTTACATTTTGTGTGTTTTTTTGATTCCCATACACATGTCCCTTTAATTGATTGCTCACAGAAGTACTGTTGAGCAAGAAGTACCTATAGTCAGAATTTTAATTAGATTCCAGATTTGACAATAGCTACTGTCATTTTGTTTAAATAATGATACCACATATAATAGTGTAGGTAGAATATATTTTTGTGATGAACACAAAAATCGATAAACAATCAGTGTGTGTGTTTTATAATAAATGTTACAGAAAGTGACAGGATAGCGATAGCGATGACGGCGACAATTTATGAAATAACTTATTACCATAATACATCTATCTCTTTTATTTGTCATGTTCCTTCATGACTACATTTTTTTATTTATTTCACACACAATTATAAAAGAAAAGTCGCAGATCGTTAATTAATCGTCAAAACTAAATTATCGGTTCAGAAATATTTAATTGCATGATATACTTAGTTTACGAGAGTAAAATTATAAACGGGAAGAATCGATCCAAAAATATTGCATTTGCATATCGAATAATTTCACAACGTCACTATTTAGTACTTATCATAACGTTGCAACACTGAAATTGTCAAATCTGGTATCGAATTAAAATTCCGAGTATACATAGTTTCTGAAATAGTGTATATTATACAAACAAATAGATAAATACAACTCTTTATATGCCAAAAACATAACATAATAGGCAAAAATTGGCACAAATTATGTACTGTGGGAATGAACGTTACCCACTTCTCATGCATGAGGGTGCGAGTTCGAAACATACCAAAGGCAAGTGTGATATTTTTCAAGTTGTACTTTCTAAGATTATTTAGATACAACTGACAAACAGTGGAGGAAATCATTGTGAGAAAACCTAAACTTATAATTTCTAATAATAAGTTTGAAATCGACAACCCGCTTTGAGCAAGCGTGGTGATTAATGCTCAAACATTCTCCGTGTGAGAATAGGCCTTTCGTCAGCAGTGGCCACTTATAGGCTGTTGATGTGAGGTCCTGCAGGTAACATGTTCCTCATCCTACCAAACCCGTATTACCACAAAAGCCATTACAATCATGATAAGAAACACCTACCATTAGCCACATCCAGATCATCAACATGGTCCAGCAACACTGTGAACGAGTTCTTCACCTCATCAGGTAAGGAGTCATGCTCGTTTATGCTGTTAATCTTCTCCGAGTTCGTTAGGACTTTGACGGCATTGTCCAGCACATCTGCTATGTTCACTGTCAAACTCCTTATAGCTTCCTCGAGGAATTTACGCCTCTGAAATAAATAGGAATATTATGGGTATAGGTCAGTGTGACTACAGACTGTGTGATCTAGACAGAGATTTAGTCATTCATTCTTCATTTGAAACCCTATGTTGCTAAAAGTTTTATAGGATTTATATATATATATATATGTATATAAAATCATGCCTTTCATCCCCGAAGGGATAGGCAGAGGTGCACATTATGGCACTTAATGCCACTGTACAATGTAACAACCACTTTTCACGATTTATGTTATGAGTCCCATGTAATAGGGGGTGAGCCTATTGCCATATACCGGGTACAATTCCAGACTCCGTTCTGCCACTGACCATTTTTATAAAATCCCAATAGTACTTTGTCCGACCCGGGAATCGAACCCGAGACCCCTCGCCCGGCAGTCACACCACTCGGCCAACGAGGCAGTCATTCCATTTCTCATATTTAAAATTTCCAGTAATGACAAAAAGTCAAACTAAGAAATTTCTAAGTTACAGCAGTATCATGTAGATTTATAAAGATACTAAAAATATCACAGCAATGAATAAATAAGCTACACACCTCTTCATTCATTGGCGCTAGATCTTTGTTTCCGGGAGCATCTTCAGCTTGTGTGGCCTCCATAGCAAACTTCAGCAGACCCTGGAGAAATCAGTACACAAATATAAAAAAAGGACTTATTAGAAAAGGATTACTCACAAACGAAATACAACTTCTTTCATTTATAACTTTAGTATTTAATGAATGTGAAATATATATAATCAAATAATAATTTCTAGTCACCAAAAATCACCTATGCTTACAGATATTTCTATATGAAAATGATGCAATGGAATGAAAAATCATAACTTATTTCATAATTTCAGTGAAGAAAGTTAATTACCTGTAAGTTCCGTGGTGGTCGTTTGTTGTGCACAGAGCTTCGTGAACTCGTATCCTGTTGGCTTAATGTATCACTTTGAAGATTGCTAGAACTTAAGACACCACCTGCAGCTTCGTGGTTATCAGATGGATAAGTCAGCATTGCAGGCGCCGGCACCATCCCACTTGCTTGACTAGCAGCGGGACTAGGAAATGTAATTCCATTGGGATGATTAGAACTCATTTTGGCCAAATTTGCTATCACACACGCGCGTTCAATCTCACTTCAATCAACAATATCTTATTCGATTCACGTCTATTTCAACACTGACGATAAACACAGATCACAACGCTTTTATTCAATGAAATGAATCACCTGCCGCACGACAATTTCTAGAATTAATAGGAAATATCGAGAAGCGAGAACCATGCGAAGTTCGCCACATTGAACAAACGTCAAATTGAAATGACAAATCATATTTTGACAGTCATGCTGTCACTGTCAGTGTCAGTAGCGTGACAGTTGATTGTACCATAGACACGATTTTTATTAAATGTTCAGGCACTTTGAAACATAGCCTATTTACCATTTAAAAAACATCATAATAGAAGGTAGTTTGGGACCTAACCTATCAACAATCACAAGCTTCTTTTGTAATTTGTAGGTATACAGTTCAAATGCTGTTTTCTTTTTTTAAATTGATAAGAATCTATGAAACTTTTGCACTCCACCGTTACCTAGAGCTCACTTTTATGTTTATAACTTTCTTTGATACATTACTTTACACTCTTACCCAGTTGCCTCTTATAAATATAATTAGTTTTTCTCATATATTAGAATCTGGTCTCATTATCTCTTGATGTCAAATAGAATGTGTACCTAAAAGAAAGGCAAAAATCTTTCGTATTTTCCTCTACGACAGAGAAACGTAAGTAATAATAATACAAACCTTATAAAATTCTTCAATCGGCTTCAATCAAATAAAAATATCGTCGTCTCCGCCCCTTTTCTTCATATAAAAACACGAACATATAAATAGATATCTCTCAGTTAAAGTTATTGAAAGTCTTTATTACGAATGATAAAATACCTGAATTATTTACAGCCTGCTGTGATAAATATCACTTGAGATAACATATCAGAATGATAGTGTTTTATGCGAAGTAACATGTTTTCACAATAACATCCCACGCAGCGGGAGACCCCACAAAACACCTTTTACTTTACAAATTAACATTTCAAATTATTACTTTTTCTGTGTGAAAATTGTGCGTCGTGTTTTACTTAATTACGTGTCTGAAGTTATAATTTGGTCTGAAAAAGAAGATAAATTAATTAATCTGCATTTTTTAATAATAAATAGGTGAGTACCTAATCACATGATGTTTATTTTCTATCGCCTCAAGCTAGAGACAATAATACAGAGTATCTTTAATGAGAAATAAAAGCAAGCATCACAAGTAGTAGTTACTCGAATACTTAATATTTTAGATTTAATAAATGTCTACTACTTTTCAACCTTATTCCTATCCTATTTATGTAGAAATAACGCTATTATGTATTTATTAAATAATACTGCCACAATCATAGACGTGATAAGACAATGGCGCGATATGATTGTGATGTCTACATAGGTACATGTTGCAAGTAGACAAGTTCTACCTATACGTTGTACAAAATAATATTATGTAAAGAAGAAAAAATCTAGAACAATCACGAAAAACTATCGTGCAATTTTAAAAGTTCTGGCTTGTTCATGTTTAATAAATAGATAAAAAACCACCGACAATAAATATAGTAGATTGCTGGATATTTAGTGGTCCACGTATACAGACAATTTGTTTATTGAAATATAACGGTATAACATTAAAAAGTATTAATTCTTAAATCTCTTGATTCCTATTTATTGTAAAAACCAATTTAGTAAACAGGTACACAAATATCCCAAAAACATTGAATAGCATCATTAAAATTAAACCTGAAGAACGGCGATTGTCATCAAAACAACAATGTTCAAATAAATAACACGGGATGTTATTCGCTTCACTTATTTTCTAAGAGAATAGATATAACATTCAAGCAAGGACGAGCTGTCTTATCGGATAAAATTATCATGTATCATACGCGAATCGATAACACGAGTAAACAGAGTTTCAGCTACATTATTATACAAATATATCTTACTTAGAGCTCAATATAAATTCTGCATTGTCACCTATTACTTAGAAAGCTACAATAATCCCATGTTCTGTAATGGTTAATTAAGCTTGGAAGACATTTCCATCTAATCTATCTTTATTTATTTTTTGCTCTATTAACTAGTTCATCAATCGATTTCCAGCGATGGCGCCTCGGCAGGACATCGTAGCCCAGCCACAGCCGATCAGAATAGAGCAGGGTAGGCAGCCCCCACCTCCGCCGGCGCCGGGACGCCTCCAGCGACCCCCGCACGACAACCCTACCGTCTACATAAACAGGCCCACGAATATACCTCGCAACAATGTCAACACCAGTGAAATCGCTCGCACGTAGGCAAACACTGTGAATGAAAACAAAATCGTAGATACTTCTACTGGGTATGTTAGTTTGTCTATGACATGTTGTTTTTTTAGAGAAGGGATTAATAAATTAAATAAATAAGTCTAAAAGCCTTGTTTTCAAACATTGTTATAAGTTGCCGTATTTTTCTAATAATAAGACTACGACTTTTGTTATTAAAATGAAAAACTATTTCAAAGGATTCATAAGGCCGAAGTTTGGTTTTATAATATACAATATTTATTCAAAAGATAAAGATAAGTACCCACAAATAATCATAAATCAACATGTTCTGAATAACAAATCAATATTTTCACCTAACATGACTTGAAGTACAGCGCTAAGAAAAGTAAAACAGTTGACGAAAATACGATTTTGATTGCGTCACAGGCCGTCCCTTTTAATAGGGTGGGTATTGAAACAAATTTTGAAATACTTAAGTATAAATTAAATTACTATTTGTGTAAGTAATCGTAATGTCTAAAATTCTTAAATTTCTAGAAATAAATGAACATTTTATTCTGTGGAAAATTACGTAACTGTGTAATTTGGTTTATAAAATTATTTAATACCTATATAAGTAGGTACCTACCCACATTAAGCGAGAAATTGTTTCTAGGTTATAATTTTTAGTAGTTATAGGTTTATATATAAACATAGAATTGCCTATTTCACTTTCTGTATATACTAGATAGATTTTAGAGATATAAATGTACCTACATGTAATAAAAATAATTATAAAACATTTAATCAATACCTACTCTTGGTTTTTTTTGTTCCATGTCGTATCATTCCTATCTTATGTGTCCCTGTGCATTCTGCAAGATAAACCTAAATGTCCTGTTTAGAGCTGTACAAAACAGAAGTAAAGACATAACTCAATGTAGATAATACAATATGTGTATGTACCTACACAATGTAGATAATAAAATGTATGTACCTATACCAAAACAAGATTCCTTTCGGAAATCATTTGACTGCACGATTGGGGCCACAGAAATGTTTATCGCGGTGGCTGGGGAATCGACTGCCACTCAGCACGTTACGTGTAGCGGGTTCGATTCCCGCAAGAAATAACATTTTGCGTGTTCCACAAATTGTTGTTACGGGTCTATAAATAAATTAGACTATTTTCCTGGGAATTACTGTAGACGACAAATTACAATGGGGTCCTCATATTACATCTCTAGCGGGACGATTAAGCTCTGCAGCTTATGCTGTCTGGAAAATCCGTCAGTTAACCGATATAGACACGGCAAGACTGGTGTACTTTAGTTACTTCCATAGCATCATGTCGTATGGCATTCTGCTGTGGGGACACGCTGCTGACATTGAGTCTATCTTTGTCTTGCAGAAGCGCGCCGTCAGAGCTATATACAACCTAGGTCGTCGCGAATCTCTCAGAGAAAGGTTTAGGGAGATCAATATTATGACCGTTCCATGTCAATTTATTTATGAAAATATTATGAATGTTAGGAAAAACCTACATTTATTTAGTAAAGTGTCTGACAGACACAATTATGAAACTAGACATAAGAAAAGATTAAGTCCGCCGTTTTTTAGATTATCAAAAGTACATAAGTCGTTCATGGGAATAGGTGTTAAATGTTATAACAAAATCCCCCAAGAAATACTGCATCTAAATGAAAGAAAATTTAAACTATGTATTAAAAAAACGTTATGTACACAAGCATACTACAAACTAAATGATTATATAGAGGATAAAAGTGCTTGGAGGCAGGCTGGTCCGGCTCCGCAGGATAATACATGAAACACAGTGATGTTCAATGAATTCTATTTGTGTAATAATATAATCATGTTGCTTAAATATTTGTATAGTTTAAAACGTTGCACAATTTATTGTAAATGTGAGAGCCCTGTAATTAACTAAATCAAATTAGACTAGTAGATTGCATTTATGTCAGCTTGGAGTTGTCATGCTCACTCAAAGATCTCGTTGGCGGTGGCACGTGCATTGGATCGCTCGATTCCCTACAAAATGGTTGAGTTGGGCGGTGCTAGGTTTTCGCCAAATGTTCGTGAACGGGCACCGTCGATTGGAACTGGTCAGCTCCAGACTGTATCAATTTATTTTATTATCCTCAAGGTTATTTTCTTTTTCAGTCTTTCTGACTGGATTTGGATGTTGCATTGTTCTCACATAATCGAACCAATAAAACTATGTAACTAGAGAATTGTATTGTAAACCTGATTGAAAAAGAGTAACCTATGGAGTTTCTTGCTCGTTCTTCTCCATAGGCATCTACGCCTTGGAATGAGCAACTAGCTTCACTTATAAATTTTTGTTGTTTGACGTTCAAAAGTGCCATCCTGGTCTAATTGAAATAAATGATTTTGACTTTGACTTTGACTTTGAAAATGGCCCACGATACAGAGAAAATAAAAAAAAAATCAATTAAAATAAAAAATGATACAATCCATAATGTTCATGCGATTAATTTCGAAATTCAAAAATTGTACTCGTTTTCTTGTAACCAAAAGAAAAGCTAGTACCTACTCATTATATTTTTCATGTTTTTATTTAAAAGTTCTTTCGTACCTAGTTAGTCTAAGCTACTTCAACGAAAGGACAAAAGGTCTTTTCCAAAAAACTTTTTTACAACCCGAAAGTAAATTCAAAACTCGTTTCTTGTTAAAATCTTAATTTCATTTGAACGACGTCGAAAGAAACATTCTTGGAATTTTTTATCCCTTAAGTTTAATTTTCGTAATTAAATATGGCCTCCTTGTATACAAATGAGGTCTCGTAAAACGTTCTTTTTTTTGCAAACGCAGCAAAATTTTATGCAGCATCATCAGTTGACAATACATAAACGTCGCAAATGTTTTTTTTTTTACGAGCATTTGTTAACGGTTTGCAACGGTTTGTTTTCCTCCGTGGCAAATGAATTGAAGTGTAACTGAACTGAAGTAGATGGACCGAAGGCACGACTCGTTTATGGATGTCACAGTAGTTGCAATTGCAGCAAGCGGCTCTGATTTTGGCACAATTTTCTACGTTAAAATGTTACCAGTTCTCAAAATTGCGAAGAATTATATATTTGTTATCTGGTTCGTCAAAAACGATGATTTGACTGTTGCCATAACTCAAAAGTTGTTAAATAAATTATGTGCAATGTAATTTAAATGCTGAATTCCAATGATTCATTGGTTTCTAAGGGTCGGTACTGACTCGTGTAGCCACTAGTAACTTGGCACTTGACTGTCCCGGTCGATAATTTTACACATGACCACGTGGAACTATCTACCTTCCACAACCCGCTAAAGGCGGTGTGGTCTTAATTAGATCCAAGAAATACAATTAAACAACTCTGTGTTAAGACAAATCGTTTTATTTATGTCGCCGCTGAGTTATGCACATATATTATAGAAAAAAACATTGTTCATTTTGTTATGGCCTACGGCATCAATTAATATGGACTCGAATTCAATAATTTACCTACACGTTGGCTACAGAAAAACTTTTCTTCGCAGATCTATATTTAACAAATTCCTCGTTATTACTTTTTATCGTGATGTATATTCGGATTCTGACGAATAACTTTTTGACGTAATTTATTGGGAAGCACTGACATGGAGGAATGTATAATATTTGGTTCAAACTATCGGAAATAGACTTAACAATTTTGCAGCCGATGTAATAATTGTTGAAAAAGTTCTGATAATACTTTTCCATCTCCGCTACGTAAATAAGGAAATCATGGGGTGGAGTAAAATGAGGTTGAATATCTTTATTAGTGAAGTTATCCAGGTGAACGAACTGATTCTTTTCCTCCGAATAAATATACGCTTTAAACTGTTCACAGTCGCCGTGTAAGGTCACACATTTGTTAAATAAATATTCACTGACATAGTTCAGTCTGTTATCTTCCGGCAATTCCATTTTATTGTAGTCTGAACTGGAAATAGAAGGAGTACTCTCAGTGTCGTTATAATCTTCTTCCATCCGAATTTCTTCAGTGTCTGCGCCCAAAATGAATCCTAATTTCTCTGTATTAACAAGTAATTGTGACAAATTACTCGAACCTTTTCCTTGTTTACCTGCCTTTATTATGTTAGAGAAGAAAATTCGCCTAAAAGCTGTCATAAATTGTCTGGCAGTCGGATGTTTTCGTTTACTTCGAACTTGGCCAAAGAATATATCAGTGACGTCTTGATTGAGCCGTCTAGTTAGCAAGTTGTTATACCCTTCTAATCTAAGGTCATCAAATAAAAGAAGTATAGATGTTATCGTTACTTGGTACCCCGTAATAAACTTCGCAGTAGAGGTCACATCACGTCCAGTCGCTGAATTAATTAGCTTCAACGATTTAAAAAAATGAAGCATATCATTCATGAATGTTATTTGTGTAGCACTCCCACAGAACGCCTGCTGGTATTCGCATGTCGAGTGAACGGTTGAAGAATTTAAAACGTCGAACAAGTCATTTATCAGTTTAATGAACTTTACTGTTTCCTTAGCGGATTCGTTTATAGCTTGGAAATCTATATAGCACGATATTGCAGTCGCAACGGTATTACTCAACAGTTCTGTAGCATATCGAGCCTGGATTTTCTCGAAATTCGAAGGTTTTATATGACTCTCTGATAATTTTGGAGCCAACCTTAACGATTTGTTCTTCTCACTTTCATAAAACTGTAAAATGTGTTCGTATTTTGCAACCGATCCGTGGAAATGGAAGTCGTTAACCAATAAATTGTTTCTTAATGATTTTATTAGGTGTAATGCGTCAAGTATGTAAAATATTTTTCTGTTTTTAATGAAAAAATAAGGTCTCTCACTCGATATCATATTTCTTTTATCTTCGCTTAATACTTCTGATCCGAGATCAGACACGTACGTTCTAATATCTAGGCCGACATCAACAAGTTTTTCTAATAAGTTTTCGATCCATTTTGATATATCAATTTGTATTCCCCTGTTTTTGCATTCCCCTAGGAGAGCGAAACCAATTGGCTGTTGCCAGTTTCCAAATATGCCCCTTATGACAACTACTAAGGCCTTTTTTGCTAGAACTGGAGTCTGGGCTCCGTTTACCTCTTGTAGTCCAATAATTTTGTCTAGACCTAAATTATAGAACAGACTAGTTTTAAGACTAATAGAATCGACTACGACTGAGCAAACTTTTTCGGAGTTTGACATATTATTCACTTTTGCTCTTAGCGTTGTCATAAGATGCTCGTTTACTTCCGTACTTATAGGTATAGAGTGCTTGGCTAGCGTTTTTGTATTAGGCAGACAAAGTGCTTCCTCCAGTAATTTATAAGCCTGTGGACTTGTGTAGTACAAATTTATACAAAACTGTTTATATTTCGGCGAATACCGATTCCCTTTGCCGTGATGTTTTAATTTCGTCTGTGCTTTCACGATCTCTGCTAAAGGTTTTGTCAGGAACTTATCGCATAATTTGTGAAACGTGTCTTTATTCAAATGATTTGCTGTTATAGATTTCATTTGTTTCTTGCATGTTGCTAATTCTTCTTTTAATTTTGTTACACAGGGAAGGGACATTTGTAGGTAATTCGCTGTCTGTGCTCCCGTTGCTAGTTTCAATACATAAAAATCTGTCTGTGTGTATTTGTTTAGAGTTTGTCTTATCTCTGTTTGTGTTTCTGAAGTTCCTGTTCGTTTGTCTGGCAGTTTTAACGAAGGTACTGAGCATTTTCTTAACCTCTTTCGTTCTGTTGTACCTTGTATGCTTCTTGGGTCGAAATGCTCTTCGCAGACTACGTAGCTGT